GAATCCGCATCGGCGCGAGCCCCGCGTCGAGGCCGTTCGTGCAGAGATGCGAAACGAGCAGGGGAAGGTCCCCATCGCGGTTGGCAAGGGGGGGGGGGGGGAGGACGCCGCGGGATCGGGCGGGGCGTCCCCTGGCGGAAACGCCGCGCCCCCCTGCACGCCGAGCTCGGCGAGCAGCCTCGCATCCGCCGCGGCGTAAACGGCGGGATCGCTCGGCAGGAAGTCGTCCGGGAGGTGAACATCCGCGGAAACCCCCTTCCCTGCCGTTTCCCCGCCTTCTTTCCGCGAGGAAGCAGGGAAAGCGGGAGAGGCCATTAACGCCTGTCGAAAGGCCTTATGAAAAGCGCGATATCGCCGCCAGGTGTCGTCGCGGAACCGCGCCCGATCCGTTTTCGCCGCCGGCGCGGAGGCATCGTTGAAGGAAACGCGATGCGAAGGAGGAGACAAAGGGCGTGGATGAGCGGTGTGTTGCCGTCGAACGTTTCCACCCCCCCCTACGCCGCGTGGAGGCCGCAGATAAAGAGGCGAAACAGTCAGCCCGCACGCCACCACGTACCGTCGAAGCATTTGTCAGCCGAACAACACCACCTTAAACTATACGATAGGTTTAGAAATGCGTATAAATCAGCACCACCGCCACCAAAGAAAAAAAAGCCAACCAAGAGAAGAAAAAAAAAAAGTTGGGAAGGGGGCGAAGCATAAAGGAAAACACACATGGTATCACTACTTTCCAAAGCGTACAATAAACACTATGATAAAGACGAAAGCGATTGCGTGTGTATGCGCCTCATAAAAGCCTAGACTTTCTTTCCTTTTTCCCTCCTTTTTTTTTCTTGCCTCACCCTCTCCCTCTCGGAAAGGGGAAAGAGGAGGGAGGAGGAAACCCAAAGAAGGGTATCCAACAGCCCCGCCACGAATTCACTCGCCACGCGATTGCGTCGCCCGCACGGTGGAGGCCGTGGCGACGTACCGCACGCGCATCCCCCCGCCCCCCTCCCCTGCCGCGCGTTTTTTCGCGTACGACGAAACCACCCGGCAGACGGCGCGCCCGCAGCCCCCACAGCAGCCCTCCAGCAGCGTCGGATCGCTCCGTTGGTTCACATCGCGCAGGCAACGCTCCCGCGGCGTCGGTGCCCTTCCGTTTCCTTTTTTTTTCCCGTTTCCTTTCACCCCCACGCGCGCCAAGCCGCCCTCCACCGCGAGATCCCCCGCGGCGAGCGATCGCGGCGGCGTGCAGAGCTCCAAATGGAGCGAAGAAGAAAGAGGAGAGAAGGTGGAAGAATACGAGGACGACGACGACGACGAAGGGGAGGAAGAAAACAAAGAAGAAGAAGAAGAAGGCTGCGTTGCTTCGGCAGCCTCGGCGGCGGCGACGCGTTGCGCGACGCCACGCAGCCGCAGCGTCGTCTCCCGCAGCGGCCGCGAAAAACTCGGCCACCCCGTCGGATGCCTCCCCAGCCGCGTGCCCTCGATCGCATCGGAAAAGGAAAAAAGCGGCATCGTGCAGGCCCTACAGACGTAAATCACCTCCCCTTTACGCGGGATTGAGGTAGGGGAGGTTAAAAGCTCCAACTCACCCGGGATGGGCGTGAAAGGGGGATCTAAACAGAGAGGAGGGGACTTCTTTTTTTCAGATAAAAGCGGCAATTCGGGAGAGGAGGGGGAGGCCCTCGTCGGGAGGCGGCGTGGTACGACGCGCATGGGCTTGGCTGTCGGATTCTCCTTCTCTTTAAGGGATGGTGAATCGCCAATTGGATGGTGAAAGGAACGTATGGAGGAAACAAGCACCCTACGACATTCCCCCCCAATCCGTGGTGAAGCCAGGGATGCAGTAAACCATCGAGAGGTATTTGTGCAAGTCCGCGCCGGGTAGAATCTCCACGTGTACCTGTGAGGATGCGGTTGTGCGTTTCGAATGGCCGACGATGCAAAGACCACAACAGATTCTCGAGGGCGGCCACAAAGTACTAATCGGCCCAGCCCTAAATGCCACATCGGCGTGATTTTTCCTTTTTAAAAAAAGAAATAAGAATATTGCGCACCACCTTGTTCCTTTTTACAGGTTTAGGTCGTTCGAGGCGATCCTATCCTTGCCCTCTTGGCGCGTATGCACCAAGGCTCACTAAAACAAGGTCACAGATCTTGAATCTAAGGGATACGAAAAAAAAAGAGAAAAGAAGAAGAGGTCGCCACACCCATTAGAAAAGTAGCCTACCCACCCCAAAAGGTGAGAAGGCCATCCCCACTGCAACTCCTGCATCAAGGCAATTCCTCTTGCGTGCATCCTGTCAGGGCACAAATGGAGATTGTTTTGGAACAGAACCATCAAAATTTATTAGCTTGGTGTGACAGTTAACCCATTTAAAGTGATTAGTTACCGATTGCACGGCAGAAACTACTACGTCAACCCCCCCATTATCAACCGCCTAGACTTCCAGACTTACTCTTCTGATATTTTATCATGCATTGGCAAAGCCCGTACAGGACGGGTATCTATCTATATAGATAGATAGATAAACGCACATGAGCATCTACATATGAATCGATCCGTCAGCGGTCCATTCCACGTCTCATCCTTCCTAGGCTTTTCCTTTAATAGCATCCATTACCTCCACCTCTTTTCCCATTTCCACCGCCCCCTCCTTATCGTTTCTTCTTTCGCTTTTTGTTACCCGCGGAGAGGTGCGGTTGGGCGCGGTTCTTCGCGTCTGCCGGGGGCGCAGCCGAGGTCCCCGCCCCGGCGCCCTCCACCGGTCCGCGCGGAAGCTTGGAGTTCATCAACTCCTTTCGCAGCACCTGCATAAAATTGGCTTTAAAATAATTCACCGACTTCGGGGTGCTGAGAATCGCGGTGTGTTTCTGGCGTTGGCTGTTGTGGATCCGCACGATACATTTGGTGGCCGCGATATCCTTCCCCTTCGCCGCCCGCGCCGCCGCGGTGAGGGAGGGATCGGAAGGGGCAGGTGGCTGACCCCGGGAAGCCCCCCCGGCGGCGTCCCCCGTCGCGAGGGGTTCCGCCAGGTGGTAAAACACCCCCGCCCCGGAAAGGGCGTGGGCGAGCTCCGCCTTAAACGCCTCGGCCTCGGCC